TCTCATGCATGTTTTAACTTCTTCTTCGCATGCTGTGCACTTCATTGCTTCTGTAGCATGGGCTCGAACGAGCATACAACGCATTTGTTTTCACCCACCCTCCGCACCCTAAAGTTTACGCAGTCAAGCACGCAATACCTGATTGCAGCTTACTCGGCACGCATTGCCACGCACTGCATGCAAGCCATATGCAATGCTTGCAAATCATTGTTCGCACACTGCATTTGTTGCTTCACGCATCGCATTTGCATTGCATTAGAGTTTCACCAGGGGTTTCAGTTCTACTTACGCACCGAACATTTCCCATGCAACTCTTGCCAAAAAGAAGGACTTGTCCGAGTGTTGTGCGAGTGAGGGCCATGCGTAAGAAGCAATGTTTGAACCTAAGAGTCCAAAAATGATGACAGCTACAAGGAAACGAGAGGGGGGGGGGGTCGAGCCAAACCTTGGAAAAAAAAGGGCGGAACCAAACCCTAGAAAAAACAAAGCCCTCCACCGTTTAGGATTCAGGATGGTAGAGGGATTTATCCCTGTCCTGCTAGGCAGGAGGGGGTGGGATTTGAGATTTTATCCTAGGATTTTGTACATGGAGTATGGTGACAAGTAAAACTGAATCAACATGTCTTGTCTGTGGCTCATAGGTGGGGACGATTTGCTCATGTGCCTCCCAGCCAGCAGCCTAAACCCTAAACCTCGCTTAAACCCTAAACCAGCGACGCGTGAAAAAAAAAGTGATGCCTAGCACTCCGCCATGAGTCCATCTCTTGCCCAAACCAAATTTCCAAGAGAAGCGAAGTTGTTATGGGACGACGGCCAGCCCCAAAGGCCCGCCTTGACTACCAACAATACAAAATGCATAACGGAAGCCCGCTTAGCCAAGAAACCTCTAGGCCCCAGCCAGGAAAACAGTAAACAACAGATCCCCAGACAACAAAGGCAACAGGAGTAGGAGCGAGACATACCATCAAATAGCAACAGAAAAACAACAATAGTGGAATCTTACCAGAATTTCAAACCATGATATTAGTTGCAATATGACTTGCCATTTCACAAGTAACACCATCAGCAATACTACCTAACATTCATCTTACGTAATTGTGCCACTCCTAATTGTGGTAATATTAATAATGGTAGTAATACGACTAGTAGTAATGCTAGTAGTAGGAATGTTAGTAATAACAAGTACCTAAACCCAAAACCCAAAACCTTAAGCCCTAAACCTCTAAACCCCTAAACCTCGAAACCCCTAAACCCCTAAACCCCTAAACCCCTAAACCCCTAAACTCCTAAAACCCCTAAACCCTTAAAACCCTAAACCCCAAAACCCTAAACCTTAAACCGTTAAACCAAGATCACATGATCGCGCTCCTGCCAGGGCTCCGGCGCGCTTGCGCAATCGCGCTACTTGCAGCACTGGCCTTGGTCGGCTCAGCATGAAGAATTGCCTTTAAATAGGGGTTATATAAAGGGATAATGGAGAAGAATATGGAAACTACAAGGATTATAGAGATTAGATAGGGGTTACATAGGGATTGTAGGGGACATATTTTGTGGATTTCTTGGGATAATGTAAAAGAAAAAGATTATATAGGGGGATTATATAGGAGTTATACAGGGATTGCAGGGGACATTTCGGGGATATACGAGGATAATGCAAAAGCAAAATTGAAACTACTATATTATTTAGGGGGTGCCTCTGGAGTTTGAATCTTCTGGGATTTACTTTGTTGAGGAATCCACAGTACTCAGACATTAGAATTTGGTTTTTAGGTGGGAATTCAGCAAAAGTGGCGGAGTTACAATCGGGGGATGGCAGCTGCTTTTTGGCAGCCACAAGCATTCTTGCATGTCGCAGACCCAAAACCTCAAAACCTGATGCTTAGATCCTGCATCCGAGGCCGTCCTGAGGCTTACGATTTAAGGTGGCAAGGCTTCCTTGCGAATCCCCACGGGTCACGTGGATTCTTGATTTGAGCCAAGCCCATGATATGGTAGTTTCCCAAAATAGGGGGACCCTAATATAGACCCCAATATACTATAATCCTTGTTATGGGGACCCCCAAAATGGTACCCCTAATTTTGGGAAATCCCCATATAGATGGTATATCACATCCCTTGCTTCCTCAGCCCTGCCCTTGCCCAAGCACCACGCGCCGAAGCTCTGAGCTGCTTTAAGACCATTATGGCCTTCATCTCCTTATCGACCTACCATGATCTTGAGAAACTCCCACACTGGTCTAGGTCCCAGTGGTCCTTGGGCAAAATACGTAGCCGCAGCATC